TCTCTTTTATATCTATTCTATCTGTAATGCTTGAACTTCTGATTTAAGATGGGTTCTTAAACACTCTAATGTTGGCTTGGTTGTATTTAATTCTGTTTGGAGAGCTTAGAGTCTTCTGCTTTGTGTTTGAATTTTCCAGAGGAATATGCATTGATTAGAGAGTGATGGAACTGGTTTCTTATTTTTTAAATAATAACTATAGATTCACTAAATTTTGGGGGCACTGTTTTAATTTATAAGATTCCTAGTTTGTGGTAATATCCTCTGCAGGATAGTAAACATTTGGTGATAGTGTTAAGGTTATATGTGCTCTGTACTCTGAATATGGTGTTTTTTAATTTTTTGCAAGAATTTAATTTTTTCACTATATTTTTTTATGCCTCAAAAAGCCAGTTACCAAAAGGCCTTTCCCTTTTGTGCCCTGTACTTTATTTGTCCCCTGACACTAAACCTGAGACTGCTCCTTCAAATTGGGCCCACATTTAAGTCTTGTCCTTATAGGGGGTGTCCTGGTCTACAAGGACTGCTGCAATATTTCTCTTTGTGACACAGACCTATGTATCAATTTTAGACTTGAGGCTAGCTCTACTCTTTTCTCTTTTCCATGGTGTATCTAGGTAAAGCCTAGCACACCACAAATCTCCTTGCAGTGGTGTGGGAGCAAAAGAGATTCCTTCCTTGGATTTGTCTTTTTCTTTTTTAACCTACAATTGTTTTGAAGACTGTCATTTCTGTTGTCTGATTATAAAGACGGTGTGTAGTTTTGGTGAAGTTTTCTTTTAAAAATTCTTATTTTTTCTTTTCCTTTGGAGGACATTGGGAGACCGCATAGGTAGCTTCTATGGTTTTCAGTTATCAAAATGTTTTATCCTATTTCTTTATCACACTAAAATGGAATTATTATACAGAAGGAGTTGTGCAAGCTGGTAATCCTAGAGACTTGGGAGTCTGAGGCAAGGGGATTGCACATTTGAATTCAGCCTCGGCTATTTTAGCAAGACTCTCAGCATCTTAGTGAGACCCTATCTTAAAATTGATAAGGACTGGAAAAGTATCTCAGTGATAAAGCTTCCCTGAGTTCAATCCCTAGTACCAAAGCAAAAAAAAAAAAAAAAAAAAACTACAATAAAAACAAACAAGAGAAAAAGCCTGGAATTTTAAAGAGATTAATTTTCCAATTACTTGTTATTTTGTAGGACTGTAGTTTACTTTATTATATTGTTTATTTGTACTCTAGTAGCTTTTCTTGCAGATATTTTAAAGGATTTTCTTAAAGTTACATAGCAATAAGTAGGGTTGTTGGGTTTTTTTTTTTTTTTCCTTTCCAAGTCATGCATTTGACTTTTGTTCTTATTGCACTGGCTAGAAACCGTAGTAAAACATGGGACAGAATTAGTGAGGGTGGACTTCAGGTGTAAATAGAAAGCATTTAGCCTTTACTTTTATGTATGATGTTATATATAATTTATATTTTAATGTTATGTATAAAATATATAAATTTACATATATATATATATAAAATCAGGTAACAGAAAAAAGAAGAGATATGAATTTTTACTCTTATATTTTAAATAGTTACTATTACCAGTGCTCTTTATATTTTTGTATGACATTGAAGGGATCTCTATGGTCTCTTGGTATCTCTTATAGAGGTCCTGTAATATTTCTTGAGAGGTGGACCTCCTCACAGTGAATTCTCTTGCTGCTGTCAAGATTTTCTCCCTGACTTTCATCATTTTTATTATAATGCATCTGTTTGTGAATCTTTTGTGTTTATCCTGTTTAGAATTTGTTAATCTTCTTGGATATGTAGATTCGTGTTGTTTATTGAATTTGAGGAGTTGTAGAGATTATTTCTTCAAGTAATTTTGGCATCTTTTCTGTCTTCACTCCCAAAGCCCCCTGTTGGTGCACCTAATGATGTTATGCATTCTTAGCTCTGTTAATCCATCTTCATTTTTTTTTCTCTCTGTATTTCAGATTATAATCTATATTGATCCATCTTTAAGTTTGCTAATTCTTTCTTCTGCCTGTTTAGATATGTGGTTAAGTATGTCTAGTGTATTTTTAAAAAATTTTAGTTATTGTACTTTTCAACTTTATAATTTTCTTGTTTAATAATTTCTATGTATTTTTTCATATTCTTTATTTGATGACATTATATTTATGCCTTACTTTATTTCTTTAAACATGTTTAAAATTTTTATCTTTAATTATTGTAAATATTTTTATTATCTTCTATTCTCTCTTTTACTTCTGTGGTTGGAATGGCATTTTTCAGTTTTATTATTCATTCCTTTTTACTCCTGATTCTTCTTTATGGTCTGTTGTAGTTTTTCATTGTGAGATTTAACTCAGTAAGTGGTGTTTTTCTTGATAGATATTGGCAAACCAAGGTTGGGAGGTCAAATCTGGTCCTCTGTCTAATTTTGTTGTTTTTGTACTATAGAGAGTGGCAGAGATGAGTATTTATGACAGAGTCTATATGGCTTGCAAAACCTAAAATATTTACTATCTATTTCTTTACAAAAAAAGGTTTTAGTCCAGGACACATTTATGTGTCCTGAGCTGTGGAATTGTCTTAACCGGCCATTTCCACCTTTTTCCTAAGGCCTATGAGAAATTTCTTCTTGCAAAGAAGATTTTATATTGAGGTTTGATTTTAGAGCTCCTTTACTGTGGATTTCCACCCAACACATAATGTGTCCCATGGGCTTTAAGTTTTTAACAAGTGTCTTTTTGCTTTCATGCACATACTTCAGTAGACTTCAGGTTCTTTTCTGCTTTTTTGGTTCATGATGTGTTTTAGTACTTTTTTTCACACATAGGGGCTGCAGTTCATGGCTTCACTTTATGAACATGTTCAGTTTAGCTCCAATCCTTGAGTATGCCAGCAGTGACATCTCCTGGCCTTGCTGGATTTAAAGCCCATGCTTCCTGTTGCTTGTTTAAGCTTTACTATTCTTGCTTTAAATTCCTGCTTCATTTTTAGCACCTGATAATTCTCATTTCTTTTAAGGTAGCCTATGTTGAAAATGCTGTTGGGTAAATCTTTACCTTGAATTTATGTGTATACATTTTTTAAATTTATTGAGAATGTCAAGAAGATATTTTTTAAAGTTGCACATCTGTTTTAGAGGGTAAACATTTTCCCAAACTGTGTACTTTATTTGCATATCATATGCTGAATTTGTCATTATGTTTTATTTTGATATTTTTCTGTTTGTGTATCCATAAATGAGAAGCCATCTGGGATGGTTTTAAAATTTAAACAAAATAGAATTGATGACTTCTCTTCAGTTTTATTTGTGTTTCACAGGTTGGTATTAGAACCTGTAAAGTAAAAATGTATTCTGCAAGAACTATTAGGTATTCATCCAACATTCTAGAAGGGAAGGTTGAATAGTATTGTATCGGGTTATTTATTTAGGTACAGGGGGTTGAACCTAGGAGTGCATAACCACTGAGCCACATCCTCAGCACTTTTTAATATTTTATTAGAGACAGGGTCTCAGTTGCTTAGGGCCTTGTTGAGTTGCTGAGGCTGGCTTCAAACCTGAAATCCTACTGCCTCAGCCTCCCCAGCTACTGGTATTACAACCAGTATGCAACCCTACCTCTTACTAGTGTAAGAGGTATCATGGGTTACTCTTGTCTAATTTTGTTTGTCTGTCACCCTACCCAAATTCCTATTGTTGTTGGCAAATTTTATTATTATTAGTGATAATCTATGAGGAAAATGTTAGATGTTGGGAGTTAAATTCATCCCCCTTATTCATAGTTAAAGGAGTTTGTTTTTTTTCCTGATGATTTCTTCATGTGGACAGAAATTTCATAAAGTACTTACCGTACTCCATTCTTTATTTTGGATCTTTAAGTACATGTAGTGGGCACTCAATAAATTTTGTTTTCTACTGAGTAAATTAATTAGTAATAAATTTTTTATGAAGCAGTAACTTAATCTTTTAAGCATAACACTAAAAACAAAAGCTTTTAATAATATCATTGTTCTTATAAAAATTATATAAATTTCTTTTTGAAAACTGTTGATGTAGAAACATCTTACTAGAATAAGGTAACCATCATTGACTTTTTCAAAGGCATATTTCTACATTCAAAAATAAAACTATTCTAAAAGTAATATTTTTTGTATCATTGTTATGTAACATTTTCATTTGATACTAAATTTTCTCTTAATTATTTCATAATGCATTTTATATTATAACAAGGGAAAATGTTTATGAGGGTGACATGATGTTGATTGGGCAGATAATTTCCAAACTAAGTTAATATAGTGCCCCAAATATGTTTTAAGAATATATATTTTTATGTATCAACTTTTATTCAATCTGAAATTTTTGGATTCTGTTGTTATATCAATGTTCAAACAGACTAAGTCTCATTTATGAAGACAACAAAAAGAGCTTATAAATCCTATGCTGTTTAATTCAAATTCAAATAGAATTTTAGTAAACACAAGCTTTAAAACTTTTCTAGCCTCAAAAAGATACCATTTGTGCAAATTAACTTAAAAGTGATTTTTTTGTTCATTTTAGTACTAATTTATTTTCTTGAAGAATCTATTATTGTATAATTTTCTGTTTGTTTTATTCTTTTCAACTGTAAATGTAATTAAGATGCATTTAACATCCTTTATAAAGCTATATTATTTAGTTTGTGTTTTTGTGACTTACTAGAAAGCATTCATAAGGACTTTTAAGGAAAATGTTAAAAACATTACCTCCTTAGTTATAATTTTTATGTTGCATATTATGTCTGCATTTTATAGAAGATAAGGTAAAATTTCTGCATAGAATCCATTGTTTATATTGTCTTGTTAATATTTGCAAGGCACAGGTGTTATGCATTTAAAAAAACTTGGAAAATGACCATTGGAGTTTGCTGGGATTCAGATTTTTAAAATAAATTCCTGTCTTTTTAGCTATTAAGCTAGCTCTCGTTATATAGATATTTGTAATACTTTTACTATTTTTCTTTAGCTTGCCAGTGTAATGGACACAGCACTTGCATCAATAACAATGTGTGTGAACACTGTAAAAATCTCACCACAGGAAAACAGTGTCAAGACTGCATGCCGGGTTATTATGGAGATCCAACCAATGGAGGACAGTGCACAGGTACATATTTTTCATGTATTTTTATGAATGAAAAGAACATTGAGAAAGAGTTGCCCCTTGTGGTGATTCTATGTATCACTAAAGAATAATTCTTTATTCAGTTTCAGTATTTCTGGAGGGTAATATAGATTTGTCACGGACTTTGGGAACTATAAAAATTCTGTGATAAGCTTGCTTTAAAGATAATTTTTACTTCAAAATATGAATTCATATTCATTATAGGAAATTTATCAAATGCAGATAAATAAAATTACCTATAATCTCAGTATTCAAAAACTATCATTGCTGATGTGTTTGTTTTAATAGTAGATTATTGTCTTGACTTTTGAAATAAAAATCAATTAAAGGTTATAGATATATGCCTCATATCAGGTAAGACTTATTTTTGGACAGGGTGATAGTATAGCATAGCATAACATTTAAGGGGAAGGGTTTGGAATCAATCCTGGACTGAAATTCAAGTCTGTCACTGTTTCAGTGTATGACCTTGAATAATTAACCTCTCAGTGCTTCATTCACCTCACATGTAAAAGGGATATGATGATAATTCACTGGATTGTCATAAAGCTCAAATGAGACCATATGGAATACAGATCTTGGGAATTTTAGCACATGAAAATAATAGTGTAAATATTAGCTAAAATTGTTACATTTTTTTCAGTAAACCCTAATTTCTTCCATTCTCTCCTGCTTCCTGTTTGCTTCTTTTGCTTTCTTTATGGCCTTTCTTTTAAATTTTGTTTTAAAGTGAAATTTTATTGTAAGCCTTTCTCTCTAGATTGGACCTTGCCATTTAAAAAAAAATTTGAACTAATCTAAGTGGAGATAGCATATATAGTGTCTAGAGAAAAGACCTCAGTTGTTGGCAGTGAAAAGCAGTCTTCAGGAGGGACTACAGCCTGGTCTAGATAAGTTTATAACACTAGCTTTAAAAATATGGATGTCTGGACCACTCCCTAAAACTATTAAATCAGTATCTGGGTTGAGGTTATAGGGTGAATCTTGGGCCTTGGTTCTTTTTCAAAGTTTCCCAAGTGACTGTTGCTTGCACTCTGGGTTGAGACACCCTAGTGGGTGATGAACTGACTTAGCTTTTGAGTTAATAAAATTGCTCAGATTTGGTGGAGGGGAGTTTTGTGACATGGAATATTCTTGCCTGTCTGAAGCACTGATATTGGTTTGGCTGACATTAGCATTTTCTATGTTCTAGGCACTGTACTAATGACTTTATGTTGGCTACATCATATTAGCTTTACAAGAAATTGTATGGCTAGTGTTATTTTATCCCTGTTTTACATAAGAACACAAATGCACAAATAAGTAACATGTCTGATTCTTAGGCCTTGCTATCACCTCAATGTAGTTGCTACATTAATGGGTACAGGGAAGGTCCAGAAGCTCTTAGACAAAAGCCATAGCTTAGTGCTATGTCCAGTGGATACACAAGGTACTGTCATTGTGGGCACCGTGGAATCCATGAGATTTAGTCATGATCTACTGCAGTCATAGTATTTTGTTATTTATGTGTATCAACTTAAAAGTCCAAGGATTTGGATATATCCTCTTTTCTGCTACTGAAATTTCTATAGCTAAGAATTTTTACTAGAAGATAAGTATATTTCAGATAGATGGTTTATATATAGTAATATATTATTTTCACCATTTTAATAAAAATATAATATGAGATGTCTTAATTCACATTATAATTTATATCTATAGATGCTCATGTATTTAATAAATAGTTGTGTATTTTTTACTTTTATAAAAATGATTTCATATATACTTTCCAAGTTGTTTTAAGGCTTATGTCCATTAAGGTTTTGTGCTATACTTTACCTAATATATTTATTTTTTAAATTTATATATGACAGTGGAATGCATTACAATTCTTACTATATATATAGAGCACAATTTTTCATATCTCTGGTTGTAAATATAATATATTCACACCAATTTGTGTCTTCATACCTTTACTTTGGATAATGATGTCCATTACATTCCACCATAATTTCTAACCCCATGTCCCTTTCCTTTCCTTCTCATTCCTCTGCCCTATCTAGAGTTTGTCTATTCCTCCCGTGCTCCCTCTTTCTATCCCAATAGGGATCAGCCTCCTTGTATCAAAGAAAACATTCAGCATTTATTTTTGGGGGGATTGGCTAACTTCACTTAGCATTAGCTTCTCTAACTCCATCCATTTACCTGCAAATGCCATGATTTTATTATCTTCTATTGCTGAGTAATATTCCATTAGTATATATGCCACATTTTTTAATCCATTCATCTATTGAAGGGTATCTAGGTTGGCTCCACAATTTATCTATTGTGAATTGTGCTGCTATAAACATTGATGTGGCTGTATCCCTGTAATATGCTGTTTTTAAGTCTTTTGAGTATAGACTGAGGAGAGGGATAGCTGGGTCAAATGGTGGTTCCATTCCTAATTTTCCAAGGAATCTCCATACTGCTTTCCATATTGGCTGCATCAATTTGCAGTCCCACCAGCAGTATATGAGTGTACCTTTTTCTCCACATCCTCGCCAACACTTATTGTTGTTTGTTTTCATAATAGCTGCCATTCTGACTAGAGTGATGATGAAATCTTAAGAGTGGTTTTGATTTGCATTTCTGTAATTGCTAGTGATGATGAACATTTTTTCATGTATTTGTTGATCGATTGTACATCACCTTCTGAGAAGTGTCTCTTAAGGTCTTTGGACCATTTATTGATTGGGTTATTTAATTTTTTGGTGTTCAGCTTTTTGAGTTCTTTATATACCCTAGTGATTACTGCTCTATCTGATATGTGAGGGGTAAAGATTTGCTCCTAAGATGTAGGCTCTCTATTCACCTCACAGATTGTTTCTTTTGCTGAGAAAAAACCTTTTTGTTTGAGTCCACCCCATTTATTGATTCTTGATTTTAATACTTGTGCACAGGAGTCTTAATAAGGAAGTTGGGGCCTAATTCAACATGATGGAGATTAGTGCCTACTTTTTTTTCCTATTAGACACAGGGTCTCTGGTTGTATTCCTAAACCCTTGATCCATTTTGAGTTGAGTTTTGTGTATGATGAGAGATAGGGGTTTAATTTAATTTTGTTGCATATGGATTTCCAGTTTTCCCAGCACCATTTGTTGAAGAGGCTATCTTTTCTCCAATGCATATTCTTGGCACCTTTGTCTAATATAAGATAATTGTAGTTTAGAGGGTTAGTCTCCATGTCCTGTATTCTGTACCATTGGTCTACCAGTCTGTTTTGGTGCCAGTACCATGTTACTTTTGTTACTATTGCTCTGTAGTACAGTTTAAGGTCTGGTATAGAGATGCCACCTGCTTCACTCTTCCTGCTAGGGATTGCTTTAGCTATTCTGGGTCCTTTATTTTTCCAGATGAATTTCATGATTGCTTTTTTCTATTTCTATGAGGAATGTCAATTGAATTTTTATCAGAATTGCATTAAATCTGTATAGTGCTTTTGGAAGTATGGTCATTTTGATAATATTAATTCTGCCTATCCAAGAGCAAGGTAGATCTTTCCATTTTATAAGGTCTTCTTTGATTTCTTTCTTTACGTTTCTGTAATTTTCATTATATACATCTTTCACCTCTTTTGTAAAGTTGATTCCCAAGTATTTTATTGTTTTTGAGGCTATTGAGAATGGGTTAGTTTTCCTCATTTCTCTTTCAGATGATTTGTCACTGATATATAGAAATGCCTTTGATTTATGGGCATTGATTTTATATCCTGCTACTTTGCTGAATTCATTTACTAGTTCTAGAAGTTTTCTGGTGGAAATTTTAGGGTCTTCCAGGTATAGAATCATATCATCAACAAATAGTGCCAATTTGAGTTCTTCTTTTCCTATGTGTGTCCCTTTAATTTCTTTTGTCTAATTGTTATGACCAGTGTTTCAAGAAGTCTATTAAATAGAAGTGGGGAAAGAGGGCATCCCTGTCTTGTTCCAGTTTTTAGAGGGAATGTCTTCAATTTTTCTCCATTTAGACTGATGTTGCCCTGGGGCTTAACATAGATAGCCTTTATGGTGTTGAGATATGTTTCTCTTATCCCTAGTTTTTCTAGTGTCTTGAACATAAAGGGGAGATGTATTTTGTTAAATACTTTTTCTGCATCTATTGAGATGATCATATAATTCTTATCTTTAAGTCTACTGATGTGGTGAATTACATTTATTAATTTCCATATGTTGAACCAACCTTGCATCCCTGGGATGAATCCCACTTGATCATGGTGCATGATATTTTTGATATGTTTTTGTATTCGATTTGCCAGAATTTTATTGAGAATTTTTGCATCTATGTTCATTAGAGATATTGGTCTGAAGTTTTTTCTTTGATGTGTATTTGCCTGGTTTTGGAATCAGAGTGATATTGGCCTCATAGAATGAGTTTGTAAGGGCTCTTTTGCTATTTTGTGAAATAAATTGGTTAACATTGGTATTAGTTCTTCTTTAAAGGTCTTGTAGAACTCGGCTGTGTATCCATCTGGTCCTAGGCTTTTCTTGATTGGTAGATTTTTGATGGCATCTGCTATCTTGTCACTTGAAATTGATGAGTTTAAATTATATATATCATCCTGATTCAATTTAGGCAAATTCTATGACTCCAGAAATTTGTTGATGCCTTCAATATCTTCTATTTTATTGGAATACAGGTTTTTAAAAGAATTTGTAATTACCTTCTATATTTCTGTAGTGATATTTCCTTTTTCATCACATATGTTAATGATTTTTCTCTCTCCTTTGTTAGCTTGGCTAAGTGTCTGTCAATTTTATTTATTTTTTTCAAAGAATCAAGTTTTTGTTCTGTCATTTTTTTCAGTTGTTTCTTTTGTTTCAATTTCATTGATTTCAGCTCTGACTTCAATTATTTTTTGTCTTCTGCTGCTTTTGGTGTTGATTTGTTCTTCTTTTTCTAGGGCTTTGAGATGTAGGGTTAAGTCACTTATTTGTTGACTTTTTCTTCTTTTAAGGAATGAA